CGCTCACCGCGGGGTCCTGCCTCCCTCTGGGCCTTCACAGAGCGAGAGCCAGGGCAGACGCCCAGGGAGAGGGCAGTGCAGGGGAGAGAGGCTGTAGGTTCGCCACCCTGTCCCCCAGCGTGAGTCTCTGAACACAACCTGGTGCCCTCACTCCCCAGCGGCCTCTTCGGCCCTCCCAGGAACACTCACCCACTGATGGCAGTCCTGCCAGGATACTGCTAGAGGCCACCCCGCCGGCATTGGCAAGGCTCACTGACGATATCATCTTGGCGAGGAAAGAGGTCGCGATGCCTTGCATGGTGCACAGAATAACAAGAACTGGGCGGAGCCGAATCTGCACGATAGGTGGCGCTTTGATGGGGGTGCAGACACCAGAATTGGGGTTTACCCACCACCTTGAAAACCACCAGGGGCTCCAGTGGGGATAGGGAGGCTGCTCTGAGCTCGTGGGGGCAGCGTGTCTGGAAAGGGCCCAGGTGTGGGTTTTGGGGTTAGAAAAGACTCGTGACAGCAAGCCGGAGAGAGGGGGGGAGGGATGGATTTTATTTCTCCTTCCCCCAGAAAACGCCGGTGCCCATTCCTTAGATAGTTCTGAAACCCCTAAATCTCCATGGAGCAATTTCAAAAGGACCAGAATTAGGAAATGAGAACCAAATAGGAAATCAGGCGTGCACTGTAGTTGGGTCGCTTTGGGCTCCTGCCCTCAGGCAACCTGCTTGCTAACACAGTGAGAAAGATGAGATGCTCTCCTCGTTTTATAAACGAGGAAACACTGTCTGGCACAGAGTGGGTGAGTGATTCACCCAGGGTCACAAGGCTTTGTATGTCAAAGCGCCAACCAACCCAGACCAGCTGCTTTCAAAGCTTGGCTGGAAGCTCTGATCTGGTTCCTCCCATACTTAACAGTTCTATTGCCCTGCCTATCCCACCCCAACCCAGGCATGGACAAGGCTCACTGTCTCTGGAATCCCAGAGCCCAAGGACGGAGAAGCACTGAGTCTCTTCCCTCCCAAGACCGTCCCCCACCCTTATCCGATGGCAGCCCCCCTAATGAGAAACAAAAGAAAGTTCTGCAAGTGGATCCACAGGGTCTCCCTCCATTCCCTGCACCCACAGCCTACCTGAGGTTGGGGCCACTCTGCCCGTCTTACTCAGAGAAGAGGATTTTCTGGAATGTGAACCAGACCCAGGTGGCCGGAGTTCAGAGCTTCCCGGAGGCGTGGCTCTGGATGCTTTGAACAACATTTTTCCTGAGGGACTCAGCCAGCGAATGCGATAGGTTTCGTTTTTACAGGAAACTGAAACTGAAACTACAGCCATACCGCCCTCCTTTCCCAGCCAAATGGAAAATCGAGTTATCACAGAAATGGAATTTGACCACTGTATCTACTGGTGTCGGTTAATGCAAGATGCTTTGTCATTTAATTCAGAGACGAGCATGTGCTCGCTGCATAATAACACATCTGATCACGGTTACATAATAAAAGGATTGTTGTAGCCGCCAGCCCCTGATAGACACACAGACCACCAGAAACCAGTGAGTTATGGGAAACACACTCTTTATTCAGCCAGCTGGGTCTGCCAGGAGTACGCAGACCCCAAATTAAGCAGCCCCGAAGTGTAGAGGTACAGAGTTTTTAAGCCCTAAACCCCATTCCTCATTCTGTCTGAACACAAAAGTCTATTTTTCTTCTATTTACGACCTGTCAACCCACAGGTCGGTTGTGCAAGTGGGGGTAAGAAGCAGAAAGCTTATTGTTAGAATGTTATATTCCCATGGGTGACAGCCAATGTTCCCACGGGCGATGGTCAAGCAGTAATTTTCCAGCCAGCACAGGATAAATATTAATTTCTAATGGAGACAAGAAGGTGGATTTCAAAATAACATTAATCCTTGCAACAGCCAGATGTTCAGATATTCAAAAGATCTATAGAGAAGGCCCGCCACGCCGGACACTGATCTGGGCACTGTATCGGAGCATAAAGAATTGAGGACTTTTTGGACTTTACAAAGTGGATGCCACGGAAGCCATGACAGTAATCCAACTGATATGTAATGGGAGCACCCTTAGGGTGTGACAGAACCACCCCAAACCAGAAACAACAGCTGCCCTCATAAGACCCCTTTCCGTCCCCAAGCTCTCACCGAGCGCCATTCCGTTTCTCTGCTGCCATTACAGCAGACCGATGAAAGAGACATGTACACTTGCTCTCCTCATGCTCACCTGACGGGGGCTCTTAAAATATGCACTGTGTATAATAATATTTTCAGGCATCCAAAAAGCTATAGATAAAATAATACAACACTTAGATGCCCATCACTCAGCTCAAGAACTCACATGTTACAGGTACAGTTCACACAACCTGAGAATTCCTCCTCGTCCTCAGCCTCCCTTCCCGCACTCCAGAATTTACGGTTGGTTAGTCCCATTCACGGTTTTAGACTCTAACCATAGATGAATGGCTAAGTGCAGAACCTCCCTGGCATTCGTGGAAGGTTCATTGGTATTTCTGCTGTGGTTCAAAGACAGGAAGCAGTAGAATAATGTGCCAAGAACCTTCACTTCCTAACCTTTGCTGAGAGCGGATGCTAAGAAACTATAAAACTAGTTTTAAAAGAAGTAGAAGAATTAATTAGGAGTTGAGATTGGAAAGGAAGAAAAGAGTGAGGGAGAACGAGAGAATGAGAGAGAGCTGGTGGCCCGTGCTTTCCTCCAAGCCCTATGGGGAGAGGAAGGGAGGGGCTCTGCCCACTGGACCTCAGTGGGACCCCTTGGAAAGCTTGACATGAACCCTTGGAATCTGAGGGAAGCGAGGCAGATGTCTGAGTCGGGCCTATCAAGTCTAAAGGGAGGAGACTGTGGCTTGCAGACGCACCTGGGGCAGGAGGGTGAGGAGACCGCTCCTGGGGTCCACTGCCCCGCAGAGCTTGTGCCTGTTTCCTGTTGGCCAGATGTGGCACCAGGCCAGTGGAGCCGGAGGAACTGGCCACCAGGATTGAGGGAATCCAGGAAGCGTGGGATGTTGGAGAGCAGCAGCCAGGACAGAATTGGAGGTGTCCAGCCAGGGGAGGCTCCCCTCGTCAAGGACGCTGCAGTCGGGTGAACCTTGCGGAAGGGAGACCACCATAGCCCGTAAAGAAAGAGTTAGCAGTTTGAATCTTCCCCACCAGAGGGCGCCAAACACAGATTGCAGCAGCACCAACGATGTGGTCTAGACACTTGCTCTGGGGTTGAGTACATTAAGTATTTTAATCCTCACAACAACCACACGAGGTACTTTTATCCTAATTTTATAGACAAGCTAATAAGTCATGCAGAGGGTGCTTTGCTGACTCCCACTTCACCGCTATCTACCTGAGTTCTCTGGACCGTTTCTCTGTCCCTGACACTCCCCAGCCCCACTGCATCCATTGCCTCTTTCTTATGGGGTCTCCACACCTATGCCCGCACCCGTCTTGGCTGCCTCCTTTCGAGACAGCTCAAGCCCCATTGCTTTTCCAAGCTTCCATGCAACTTCCTCAGGCCACCCAGCTCCAAAAGCCCCTCTCCACTTGCTCACTGTGGACCCACGGCCCGAAATGGACTCCGCCAAGCAGGCAACAGACACAGGTCTCAAAGATGTCACACCCCTGCCCCCTGGGGGCTCCAAGAGAAGAACCGAGGAAAGTCAAAGCACCCTCCAGCCCCTCTGTAAAAACTCCATGAGGACGGAAACTTCTGTCTTATTAACCCCAGTGTCACAGCTCTCAGAGCTGGAGTGGACACTCAACAAATATCTGTTGAATGAATTCCTTTTACGGTATCTTTTCCGGTGAGTCTCAAGCCCTCCCTTACTCAGGCTGGATATGGATCCTAGGGGCTGGAAGTCACAGGATTGTTCTGCTCTCTTACAGGAAACCCCGCAGGGCCACAAGCAGCAGCTCTCATTGAAAGTGGGGTCCTTGTCCCCCACTGTTCTCAGCTTTGAAGTTTAAGTTGAGATTTCTCCCAAATAGGAAACCTGTTTGTAACGTACGGCTACACAAGTATTAGTAAAATAGGGAGAAGGCTAAATAAAATGTGGTGTGTTATTACCATGGAATACTAAGCAGTAATTAAAAATAATGAAAAAGATTAATAGGATAGAAAAAGGCCAGCTACAGAAACAATATGTATGAGCTAAAGCAAAACTATATCAATAAAAAAGATAAAACAGCGCTACATAAAATGTTTTCTATGGCGATATCTACATATCTCTATCTCTGTCTCTATTATTTATCTACCTATCTACTTATCATCCATCGATAGAAATCATTTTAAAGGGACATGGAAATATATCTATCAAATTGTAGCAGAGCTTCTGGGAATGTGAGTGAAAGACTGTGATAATGGGGGAAAATGGCTATCAGATCCAAGGAGACTTTAGCCTTATCCATAGTAACTCAGATTTTTAAGAGAGGAACATATTTGAATATTTCTTAGGTATTTTTTTTTAAATGAGCTTTATTCTTTAGAGCAGTTGAAGGTTCACGACAAAATTTGGTTCACAGCAGAGATTCTCCCTGTCCTCCCTTCCCCCACATAGGTAAATTCTCCCCAGTTATCAACATCCACTACGTTAGGTAAACCTAAACGCAATAAAATGTTGGTTTTCATTAGAAAATAATGCAATCCCGTTTCGCAAAATTAAAAAATAAAAAGACAAAAACCTACCAACGGCGTGCCTTCAGACTCCGCAGCCTCTTCCCTCATCCCTGACGTTGGAAGATTTTAAAAAGCCAGAGGAAAAAATAAAAATAAAAATAAATAAATAAGCCAGAGAAAGGCACAGCCCACCTGGCCAAGGGACTGCTTTGTTTTCCCACTAGAGCGCTGGAGCCTCGGTCCTCCCTCTGAGGACCACCCTCATGCTGTCACTCTTTGTCCATGCCTGTCCTCCTTGAAACAGGAACCACTTCTTTTTCGGGCACTCGAGCCCTTCCCCTGCTCCTGGGCTGGTCCAGGCCTTGGGCTCTCCTCCCAGCCTCCGAAGGTGAGCCCAGCATGGCCGAAAGCCATCATCACATCTCCTGTCTTAGACCAAAGTAATCGGTGTAGGGATGAATAGATGACTGCATTTAAGATACTAACGGAAACATTTAGCAGAGGTACTCGGGAAAGAAGTTTCCTTGCTCTTTAGTAGAAGGTTCATGGAAAATGCTCTTTTTGCGGGGGAAGACACATGAATAAAGAAGCAGGTATCCTCACAGCACCTGCTAATAGCCTTTTTTTAACCATGAGAGTTGGCAGCCACAGGATCAAGGTGATAGAAAGCAGAGGAGGGATAGAAAAAAACAGGTCCTTGGTATTAATTAGTGTTGAGCTGCTGAATCAAACTTTGCCTGAAGCCCACTTACCTTTGTAATTTTCAGTTCTGTAAGCCAATAAAGTCCCTTGAACTCCAAGACAATTATAGTCAAGTCTCTATTACTTATAACTATATAATCTTAAATAAAACAGCATCTCCTCCAGGAAGCCTTCCGAGATAGCTACAATTTAGAATTAATCTCTACCTTCTCTGTCTCTCATGCCACATAGCTTGATCCTCTCAACATATCGCATACATCGTGTTGTGTTATCAATTAGCATTGGTGAGTAACAACCAACCACAAAATGTAGTGACTTAAAAAGTATTTATTTATCTCTTGATTCAGTGGGTCAGCGATTTAGGCAGATGGTTCTTCTGGTCTCAGCTGGGCTCCCTCGTAGATCCACAGTCAGCTGTGAGCTGGCTTCTTGGATCTCAGCTGGGCTCATTGACGTGTCTGGAGCCTTATCTGGAATAATGGGCAAACTCCATTTGGCCAGCATGTGTTTATTGTCCTCCAGCAGGCCGGCCCAGACTCAGAGGGAGAACAAACAAACCCTGCCTCTTGGTTAGAGGGTGTGTCCACATGAAGAGGGCTAGGTCGGGACTCCCGTGGTAGAAGCCTCACAGCATCCATGGCTTCACTTTTCCTTGCCGGCTTAACAGTAGATTGTTCCCAGCGGCTTGGAACGTTCCCTGCCATAGAAAATTGCCCTGAAACTAACGATTAATACCTTTATGCTGACTGATCACAATCCTTCTGGTCTAGTATTCTTTCCAGACTACTCCCATCTTTGTTCCTGGGTTGCCGACGCCACCGGAGGACCATGTTGCCGGAGGGATGGCTCTGTGAGGCGTGGCAGACCCTCGGAACCACCACATAGCCCCTGGAATCATGCCCGGATTTTCCCTTAAATACCCTAAGCTGGACTGAGAAAATAAGGCAGTTTTTGAAAAATGTTTACCTGCTGCCTTCTCAGTTTCCCGGTGCTCTGATAATAAACGCTTATTCTAAATCTCCTGACTCCTGAGCAGTGCGGGCAGCACGAACCCCCAACGCGGTTGTCTGGGGTTGCACAGACACATCGAAAGGACAGGGGTGCAGGGCGGGGTGGAGAACGTGGTCATTTCTGTAATCGACCTCGTGTCCCTTAGCACGGTTAGCTGCGTGCTTGCCTGGCCCCCCAACACTGCACACCCTGGGTAGAGAAGGACCCCTCTAATTGACTGCAGCCACAGGGCCCAGGATAGAGCCCTTGAGACCAGCTGGGAGCTGTAGGAGTGAGCTGAGGCAGCACCCAAGGGAGAGAGAGAGCCCGGTGTGGCAGGGCCACTGAAGGAAGAATGGGTGTGAAGGCCAGAGTGTGCTGAGGTGCTGGGACCAATGGTTTGAGGTCTGAGAATCAAAGCCTAAAGTGGAAATGGCCCGCCAGAAGCTGGCCATCGGTTTATCTGCATGGCAGGCAGGTGGCGGATGTCAGGTCAGTGTACACAAAACACCTGGCGCCTGGTTTAGGGCTGGGCACATAGTGGGCCTCTGGAAGTGAGTGATCTGCATTGGCCCGCCTCTCAGGAGCCCCACTAGGAAAAGTGTGGATGAAATAAAGGGGTCCTACGGAGGGTAACCTCACAGGGTCATCTGATCATAAATTCCTAACTGCGCAGGTGGTGGCGGTCAGACTCCAGGCCTCTAACTTCTTAGTAAAAGGTCTACCTTTGCCTTAAGCCAGCCCCGTTCACTGTGTCTGTGCATCTAGGGCTACACGCCTTTGGAGTAACCACCCTCAAGAGAGCATAGGATCGCATCGATTGTCCTGTAATCCAGCGGTTCCCAACCTTTCTGGCACCAGGGACCAGTGCTCCTATAAAATCTAATGCTTGATGACCTGAAGTGGAGCAGAGGTGAGGTGGTGACGCTAGCCCTGGGGAGCGGCTGCAGATACAGATGAAGCTTCGCTCCTTCACCGGCCGCTCTCCTGCTGTGCCGCCTGGTTCCTAACAGGCCACAGACGGGTAGCAGTCAGTGGCCTGGGGGTTGGGGACCCCTGCTGTGACCTAATCCCTGCCTTGCCCTTGTTTTTTCTCACTTCCCTGTAATCTTCCTCATGTTCCCTCTTTAACTCCAAGTGCACAGAGGAAACTGAGAAACTGTTATTCTCTGGAGCATCTGAGATCTTGCTCCTTGGCATGTATCAGTGTGACGCAAATAAATATAAAAATTCTCTACAGGTTTGGCCATGTCTTACACGGACAGGAAGGAGAGGCTGTCCATCCTTGCAGGCTCTGGTCATTCCCTCCTGGGGCTGAGGACCAATGGGGACAGAGTTCCCTGGAGAGATAGAGCTTCTCCACTTGCCTAGAGAACCCCAAGGGCCACCGGGACAGGCAGACACAGAGTTGCTGAACTTCTAGAATCATGATACAGCCAGACCCTGAAACTTGGGTAGGGAGAGGAGGGGTCAATAATGCCTGAGGATAAAGGGCTTGGTAGCTGAAGGTCAATGGCTCAAACGGTGAACCCCCAGAGTCAAGCCATCCTATCACACTGGCTCTGGCTGAGATCTGTGAAGACACTTGGTCCAAGTCCCCATCTGAAGAACAGCAAACTGAGGCTCAAAGGGGAGACATGACCTTATCAGTGTCCCAAGTGACACACAGGACTGCAAAAAGACCTGGCTTCGTCACGGAGGTTACCCGGCGCTCATTCCTATGGAGCCCTGCACCCTGCCCTGTCCATGAGGACGTCGCGTGGACACTTGGGAAAGGTCACAGCATCTCATCTTTATTTCTTATCCTTCTCTGAACAATTTTGGGAAGCAAGGGGCTTCTCATTTGGGCTTTGGAGGGTCACCTCCAACATTGGGGTCCTTTGCTTCAGCCTTGGGTCCATCTGGAGGAGGGGAAGAGGATGACGCCTTTGAATACCCAAACCAGCCTCCGAGAAATGACCCAGCCAAGCCTCCGAGAGATGACCCAGCCATGCCCAGGAGGATGTTGGATGACTTGGAGAGTCCAGCTGCCCCTGGAGGAGAAGAGAGGGTGAGAGCACAAGGGGACAGGCAGCCCCAGCAGCTCCTGGCAAGAGTGTGGGGTCAGAGACCCCAGGGACGCTCAGGAGGCCAGAGGCCCCGACATCCTACTCCGGCTCCCTCTACTTCCTAACACCCCAGGATCTCTGCTTTGGGCAGGGGCTGCCCAGAGGGGAGACATGAACTCTGGATGAACCCACCAGTCACAGGGCAGACCCTTTGAGAAATGACGGGCCACCTCGCCTTCCACAGGATGAGGCTGGGGCCCCGATGGGTGAGGGGACCTGCCCAGGGTTTGTAAGGCTGACTGAGAATGCACACCTTCTGGGCTGCACCCCGGTCCTGCCATCCCCACCCCCAACCAGAAGAGGAGACAGTGGGGGAGAGACAAAGACCAGGGACACTGAGGACCACGGAACTGGAGGGAGAGCACAGGCCCTCCCTCGGGCTGAGCCTCTGCGCTGAATCCTGTCCTGGCTCTGGTCCACCTCCCCCACCCCTCCTGGCCAGGACACTTACCCGCAGACTGTAGAGTGGCCACCAGGCTGCCGGCCGGAACTCCGCCCCCGTTGGCGATGGCAGTAGCTGACATCATCTTGGCCGCTAAGGAAGAGGCCGCAATTCCTGCCCCGGTGAAGCCCGCCGCGGTCAGCAACACGGGCACAGACCCCACGGCCACGACTGCGGAGAAAAGGAGCTTAAGCTTGGTCCCATGGGACGGTCTCCCCCAGCTCTCCCTGACATCTTCCTGGGCGGGGAACTAGGGGCCTGCTTTGTTCTTGTGAGAGCCACAGGGCGGAGACAGGGACCCGACGCAAAGGAAGGTTGTAGACGTGGACACAAGTGAGGGGACAGGCTCCCAGGAGGACAATCCCAGACCTGTTCGGGCCCCTGTTTTGCTGGGACACCTGGAGGGCTCACTGCCTTCCCCGGGCCTCCGCTGCACTTTCGTAAAATAAATTCAACTGAAACAAGCAGTGGTCTCCAAGCTTCCCCTTTCGGCAGGGGAAATAGTGTCTCCCCTAAGCACAGGGTGCTCAGAAGAGAACATCGGAGCTGCTCTTTTGAAGAGGGGATGGGTGGGGTTTTCCGGGCTCTGCAGCAGTGTTTGCAGGGGTGGGGGGTGGGGTCCCCCCAGAGCAGCGCAGTCCTAGAACATCCTTCAACAACAGAAATGTTCTGTATCTGCACTATCCAATACCGTAGCCACATGTGGCTACTGAGCATTGACATGTGGCTAATGTGACAGAAAAGTCTGTTTCCTTTCACTCTGGCCACTGTATTGGAGGACGCTGCCCTAAAGCACAGCTAGAAACCTCTGGGCTCATCGGATGAGGGTTTGTAAAATGGTTCCAGGGAACCAGACCCAGCTCAGCTTATACATTCCCAACAGCCACCAGGAGGATGTGACCGGCCCTGCTTTCTAGGCCCCATGGGAATCAGACTCGGACAGATCAAATGGCTCGCCCAAGATTGACCCGTTTGTACTTGGGGGAAGCTGAGATTGGACCTGGGGTGCTGTTAACGGTTTTGCTTTGGTTTCTGCGCTCTAAAGCTCACTCCGTGTCCTCCACTTCTGTCCCCTGTGCCTGCATCTGGGGGTCGAAGGAACCCTGGGCTTGGTCAAGGCTGGTTACTCAGAGGCCCAGGGCCAGGGGCAGACGGGGTTTTGAACCTCTTCCCAGAGAGACTCACCTCCTCCAGTAACTGCTGCAGCAACCGTGGCTGGAGACAAAGAGAAAGTCTGTGAGTGCACTGCCCCGGCCTCCCACTGCGTCCCCCTCTGCTGTCACAGCGAGAACTGGAATCGGAGGCGAGAACAGCCCCTGCCTGCTTTCCAGGGAAAGGCTGAATCCTGAGCACGCACAGGTGGACGGAGCATGGCCCTGTACCGCTCCAGATGGGAAGGGTGCCACCTTGAAAAGGCTCCATGCTGCTCTTTGAAGCTACAAGGCAATGTTGTCCTCCATCTCCTCTGCTGGATTTTGAGCTCTCTAAAGTCCAGGGCCAAGCCTCATTCACTGCTGCTTCCCCCGGTGCCAGGCACAGGCCTGTGAGCAAGAAGGCGCTGAGGATTTCAGAGAAAGAAGTATGGACCAAGAGAGCACCTTTGTGCATGAACATGCAACGGTCTGAATGTTTGTGTTCCCCCAAATTCATATGTTGAAACCTAATGCCCAATGTGATGGTAGCAGGAGGTGGGAGGTGATTAGTTCACAAGGACAGAGCCCTCGTGATTGAGATTGTAAGAGAGACTCCAGAGAGCCGCTTCGTTCCTTCCCCTCATGAAGTTACAGTGGAAAGATGGCCATCGAGGAGGCAGGCTCACACCAGACACGAATCTGCTGGTGTCTTGATCTTAGATCTCCCACACTCCAGAACCATGAGAACCAAATTGCTGTTGTTTATAAGCTACCAGTCCACCGCATTTCATTAGAGCAGCCCTAATCAGCTAAGACAGGACACAATCAACAGAGTGGAAAGGCAACCTACGGAATGAAAGAAAAGATTTCTAAAGCATATATCTGATAAGATGTTAGTATTCAGAATGTGTAACAAATTCCTACAACAACAAAATACCCAAATAACCCAATTTAAAAAATGGGCAAAGAATTCGAACAGATATTTCTCCAAGAAGATATACAAATGGCCACTAAACATGAAAAGATACTCAACATCTCCAGTCATCAGGGAAATACAAATTAACACCACGATGAGATATCATTTCATACTCATTACTATAGCTACTATAAAAAAAGAAAGAAATAACAGGGGTTGGCTAAGATGTAGAGAAAGTAGAACATTTATATGCTGATGGTGGAAATATAAAATGATGTAGCAGCTATGGACAACAGTATAGCAATTCCTCAAAACATTAAAAATGGAGTACCATATGATCCGGCAATCCCAATTCTCGTATAATCCCAAAGAAACTGAAAGCAGGATCTTAAAGAGATACCTGTAACCTATGTTCATAGCAGCATTTTTCACAATAACCAAGACGTGGAAGCAATCCAAGTATCCATAGATGGATAAATGGAGAAACAAAATGTGGTATCTACATACAACGGAATATTATTCAGCCTTAAAAAGGAAGAAAATTCTGACACATGGGTGAACCTGGGAGACATTATGCTAAGTGAAATAAGCCAGTTACAAAAAAACTGGCTTATTTCAAGTATTTGCTCATCATGCAAATACTATATGATCCCACCATAGATGAAAAAAAGGGGTCCTATGGAAAGTAAACTCACAGGGTGATCTGATTATAATTCCTAACTGGGCAGGTGGTAGGTGGTCACGCCTCAGGCCTATAACTTCTGCAGTGAAAGGTTTTCAGCGGGCCTGTCCACTGTTCTTGGGCACCTAGGTTAACACACCTTTGAAATACCAGAAGTGACACCCCTAGAGGGGGCAGTGACCCTCAAGAGAGCACATGATCTTGTTAACTATCCTGTACTCCGATCCCCGCCTCGCTCCCTCCCACCTCCACGTCATCTTCCTTCCATCCCCTGCTTAATCTCAAATGTATAAAAGAAGCTGTGAAACTTATTTTCCGGGGCATTTGAGATCCTGCTCCCTGACTTAAGTCCTAAGTTTGGCTCAAACAAACTCATAAAAATTCTCCACAGGCTTGGACATTTCTTACGTTGACACCACTTATGTGAAGTCCCCAGAGTAGTCACATTCGTAGAGACAGAAAGTTGAATGGTGGTTGCCAGGGGCTGGGGGAGGAAGGAGTGGGCAGATATTGTTTAATGAGTACAGAGGTTCGGTTTTGCAAGGTAAAGTTCTGGAGATTGGTTTTATGACAGTGCAAATGTACTTAACACTATGGAACTGTAGACTTAAAAATGTCACATTGGCAAATTTTATGTTGTACATAATTCGTCACAACTAAAAATAAATAAATAAATAATAGAGTGCACCTTTTGCTGTCCTGTCCCTGGGCTGGACCCACTTCCGGGTGAGACTGCTCTGCTAAGATGTGCCCTTGGAGGAAATAAGCAACCAGGCCCTGGGTATCAAGGGAGGAGCAGGACTAAAGAAACGAAACTCACCCAGGCTTTGGGTGCGGTGGGGCCAGCAGGTCAGGGCACTGGCAGTGGACTGTAACTGGCAAGGGGCTGGGCCTGAGCCAGCGCTTGCCAGCTGCCCAGGGGCCTGAGCGGCTGACCTTTGTGCAGAGAGTGAGCCAGGGTGAACGGTCTTTGTACCAGCTAATCAGATGTGACCTAGCGCTGGGAGACCCAGAGAGTGACATAATCCTACCCCTGCACTTAGAAACAACCCGATCAAGACCCAGAGAGGTCACGTGACTGGTTCTGGGTCACTTGGCAAGTAGGCAGCAGAACCAGGACCTGAAGCACAGCCCCTCTGACTGCAGCATCGTTCACGTCATCCCCCCTATTCTGACAAAGTGGGTGGAGTAGAGATGCCACCAGGAACGAGTACCTTAATGCTGACGACTGAGAAGGCTGAGCTGAGCAGTGAGGGTGGGGTGAGGGCTGGTGGACTGGAGCCCAGGGACCAGTTACCTGCTATGCAGGAGGGATTCCAGTGTTCGCCTTTGGGCGTGCCTGTGGGCGTGCCTTTGGGCGTGCCTGTGGAGCCGGAGCCATCTCCATCGGACTCTGAAGGGAGCCCCTGTAGGGGCTCCTCAGGAGTAGAATCAGCAGAGGATGACTGGGAGGGTTCATCTTCCTCTGGAAGAGAAGCAGAGAGGAGGACACTCAGGGTGGGCAGCTGTGGGACCACAGGCCAAGGCTCTAGGCCCCCAAGGAGGGCATGAGGCCCCGAGGTCCCCCCATAGTACCCTCTGCTATTTCCTGAAGCACCCGGAACTCTGATAGGGGGAGGGTACATCAGTGGCAGCTGAGCTTAGAGGTGATGGGAACATTTGGAGATAAATTCAAGTTGAAGACAGAGAGAGAGAGAGAGACCTCACCACCTGCTGGGAGGTCCCTCATTTCACAGAGGGGCAGGCCGAGGCCCAGAAGGGCAGAGATTTGCCCAGAATATCTTAGTGGTAGCTCCAGGCCAGAACTCAGTCCCCTCTGCCCTGGACCATGCACCCCAAGCCCCGGGCCACCTCCCCCTCCAGCACCTCCCTGAGGGCACTCACCATTCGACTGAAACTCCTGCAGGAAGGTGTCAGTGGCAACTCCTTCCCCGCTCTCTATGGCTTTAGCTGACATCTTGGTGGCAGTGTGGGAACACTTGGTACACAGCCCACGGTTACTACAATCTGCCCCAGAAAAAGAGTGTGAAAACTAGAAGTGCTGGGCCCGATTTGTGATGGACTGCAGTATGGATGGGGGCGCCTCTCTGTTGCCCTGAGCCCTGCCCTCTGTCCTATGGCAGTCTGTGGGCCACTTCAACACACCCCTCAAATCCACACGGACTTTTTAAGTTAATGACTTTGCTGGGCTCCCTGATGTCCAGGGTTCTATTCATCTCTAATATTCCATCCCTGATCCCTGACCACTGCCCCCTACCCAGCTTAAGTCTTACGGTTTGAGAGTAACCTGGGTTGGGACAAGACATTGCTCCCAAAGTCTCAGGGTAAATGTGGGCTCAAACTCCTTCCCAGCACAGTCACCTCTGATCTCAGTGACAGTAGCCCTGGAAGGCAGTCAAGAGGGATCCCTTGAATGGAGCCCTGTTGCTCCCTCCCTTTCCCACTTCCCAGGCCCCTGCCTACCTTGGGAGGTAATTGCCTGATAACACAGAGCAGAGTTTGAAGTCCTGTCCTTACTGAGGCTGGCTGCTGAGGATTTCAGCAGGCTAAATAGTCGCACCCTGGATGACGTGGAACCCCATCAAATTGTGGCAGCGGAGGTGGAGCTAACTGCTTCCTATAAAGGTTGAAGGTTTTTCAGTGTCACAGGTGACCTCGCACAGATCACCGGTCTTGGTCGGTCACGCCCCTTACGGCCCGCCAACCAATCAAAATACACTTTCCTTGTGTAGAACGAACAGGAAGAAGTATAAGATGCCTAACACTCTGCTCGGGGCTCAGCCTTTAGATGAGAATCCCCCCAGCCTGAGCCGGCACCAATAAACGCTACTTCCTGTTTATTGTCTCGGTGTCCCGGCTCTCTGTCCAAGCATCCAGCAACAAAATGAACCGGCTGGGTCATTCTCATTTTAGGCTCATAGCCACAGAGACTTCACCTTTACCTTGCTAATGTGAGCATGGGGTGAGTGTAGGCTGCTCTTCAGGATAATCTAATTCCAACATATCCCAATGCACCATGGATGGTACTAAGCTTTTCTAATACCCTGATGGTGGCTGTCTGATTTGCATGGCAACAGGGGAAAGCTTGGGTTAAGTCAGAGGAAATGTCCGCCTAAACCAAGGCATATTTAGAACCCTCACTCTCAGGGAGGGAGTCAATATAATCAATTTTCTAGTCTTTCACTGGTTGAAAATTCCGGTGGATTGCTCCAGACTCCTTTGGAAGTTGCCTTGGGTATTGTTTAGAACACACAGCAAATGCTGCTACTTGGGTTCTTGCAGGTGAACCCAAATGTCTTTTCACATATTTTGATCCCACAAGGGCATATTCATGGTCATGTACCCCTTTGCTTCCCATTGTCCAAGCCACAAGGTAAATCCTTTTAGAAGTCCTACTGTCAGTGCAAAAGGTTAACAGTCAGGGCTCACTCTCCAAGTGTGTAACTGACCCACAGGAGACAGGAAACTGTCCTGCCATGCAGGAACATGCAGCCCTTTCTTTCTCACTCTGCCATCAGGAACAGCTCTGGTCTCTTGCCATCAGACTTCAAGCATCACTTGGGCATAGGCTCTATGCTACCTAGACTCTCGGGGACACACTGGCAAGTTCTCCCAAGAGATGAGTTAAGCCCCATTCCATAGTGGGGAGGCTCACTTGACCTGGGCTTGGTGAATTCCCCCATTGTCCTTTAGGACTTTCCAAGGTGATCAGACACAGTGTATGGGAAAGGTTTCCCAGATGGTCCCATGACACCCACATAAAAAAGTGATTACCTACTGGGAAGCTGGTTTCTTTATATAAAGCAAAGGAGCCAGTTTAGCGTGGTGATTAAAGCCTGGGTTTTAGAGTCAGGTGGACCTACCTTAACCATCAGCAAACAATAAACGAGGCAGGAAAAAATTACGGAAAATAGCACCTCCAATAGTCTTCTGGTTGGGTTGTAAATTAAATGCTAAAACGTTCGCAAGTCTCCAAGCACACAGTATTTACTCAACACGTGGAGAGCCACTGCACTAATACTAGACCAAGAACGCAGAAAACGTCGGTTCCCGAGCATGAGTTGGCGTAGAGCCCTTTCGGCTGGAGCACAGCGACCCTCACTGGACCCTCCTGCTCCCTAATCCCGGAAAGAGCACGGTCCGAGCAGCCTGTTCCTGCTCTCCACTTCCGCACAGCACAAGCCGGCCATCCCGTGCGGCAGCGAATCAGGTGGCGGCGTCTAGAATGGGGGCGGGACTTCCTGCCGCAGCGCGCCCGCGTGCTGGATCGTAAGCCCCGCCCCGGAACTGCGGTCGGCGCTGCAGCTGAGGGCCCGCTGAGTGGTTTTCTGGGGCGGCAGCTGAGCAGGCGTCCGAGTGAGCTGAGGCGGTGTCTCCACATGGTGCGTGCCGGAGCTGGAGCGGGGCTGGGCGGGCACCAGAGAGGAGCTGGGGGAGGGCTCCCGGGCGCCCATCGCAGGCCTCTCCAGGCCACTAGGTCTCGCTCCGGTCGAGAGAGGGCGGCCGCTCGCCGGGTCAAGCAGCCTGCCGGCCTCACACCGGAGCCCCTTCTGTGGGCATCAAGGCTCGGCGGCCTCGGCTTCTCCGTGTGCTCGAGGCGCTATCGCCAGTCGCGGGGCCTGGCGCAGCGAGGAGAAGGGATCCCGCTTGCTCTGCAGGTCGCACTCCGCGTCCCCATGTGCGTGACCATCCCCCACGTCCGTTGTTGAATTCAGGTGGTTTGTGTCGGTGGGCGAACCTTCCTGCGTGCGGCCGTGCTCGCCTCGCGAGGCGCCACGCTCATGGGTTTTGGACGTGCGTCACTTGTTTTGTATTTGCGTAAGGATCCAATGAGACACCTGAGGCTAACAGCAGTAGGCCCACCACAGACTCAGAGCTGGAGAGTGGTGATCGGGTTTTGCATCGAGATTCACCTTTGTCTTTTCCACAGGGTCTGTTTTTCTTAGCCTTTCTGAAAAAGGAGAACATCGATCGAGTTTCACTCAAACTACTCGTGCTTGAATGGTTTTTAAGTCACTTAAAATGTAATGGATAAGCTGGACGAGTTTTAAGCCGTTTGTCAAAGGCCAGAATGGTGGAACAGGCCCTTGCCCTCCCGGGGCAAGACTTGAGAAGAAAGATAGCTCTTTTCACTTTTAATAAAGCTGGCCCCCTCAGCCCCCAGTACCACCCTCC